AGACCAGCCTGGGCTAGAGTGAGCTCAAGGCCAGTCTAAACTGCATAGCAAGACCCTGTCTCAAAAAGACCAAAAAAAAAAAGTCTTTTGACTTTGAATTTTAATTAAATATATTTATTTGTTTGGTACTGGGCATTAAACCTAGGACCTTCATACTGAGCTTTCTTTGCCTTTTTTTTTACATTTTGAGACAAGGTCTTGCTAAATTGCTAACTTGACCAGGCTGAGCTTGAATTTATGATCCTATCTCAGCCTTCTGGAGTGCGGAAAGTACAGGTGTTGTCTTAGTTATTTTCTCACTGCTGAGACAAAATACTCAACACCTAAAGTTAAAGGGGAAAGGTTTATTTGGCTCACAATTTGTAGAGGTTTCAGTCCATAACTGGCTGGCTCTGAGGCAGGCTGGCATGGCTAACAGGACTTGCAGAGGAGAAACATTCATGGCAGGCAGAAGGTAGCTAAGCAACAAGGGACCTTAACAGCATCTTTCTGCATATTTTATCCTATCCAGCTACTCAGGGAGGGTAGCACTCACACTGTGAATTCTAGTGCTCTTGATCCTAGCATGCACCATGAGTCAATTCCAGTGTCACACAGTCTAGATCCAGCCACTTCTGAAAAGCCCTACCTTTGACCGTGTGAGGCTTTGGAGGAACATCTAAATACAAGCCATAAGAGATGTGTACTGCCAAGTCTGGCTTAATTAACATTTTAAAATTCAATTACATATCTAAAATTATTGAAACATTTTATGTAAATGTAAGAATTATAATCAAACTAAAATTTTTCTAATGTAATTTCTGTGTAAATATATGAAATAGATATAAGTATGTAGATATAAATACATAGAGGTTTTCATTGTTTTGGTGCAAAATGTTAGAAAAATTGGTAAAAAGTTGAGAACTTTGTTTATATGTCATAGTGTATAAGAGTCTTGAAATAAATGAATATTTGGTTTGTTTTCTTTTGGTAGCATGCGTATGCACTAGAACTTCTATTTGATCAATTGCATGAAGGAGCTAAAGCTCTTGATGTAGGATCTGGAAGTGGAATCCTTACTGCATGTTTTGCACGTATGGTAAGAGCTTTATTTTTCATTCTGATCCTGGCGGAGATATATTATGTGATTTTCCTGTATTTTTTCACTAGTGGTTTTGATTTTTGAGTTTTGTTCTGTTAAGATAGCAGTTGGAATGGATATCCCTTAGGGTTTATTTTATTATTATTGTTGCTAGTGACAGAACATTTAACCTGAACTGGTTGAGCTAGAAAGGATGTACTGGAAATGTCTAGGGGTATGTCTGGCTTCTTGGAGGCTGGGTTTGGAATAGCAGATATTATTGACAATGGGTTTCTTTTAGGTTCTGGGTTTGCCTTTTGTACATGTTAGCTTCATTATCAGACGGGCTTTACCCTTTTGATCCCAAGATGAAAACCGACAGCTCTTCCATGTTTTCACCTGACAGAAAGGAAGAGTAAGCCTGATTTTCAGACACTCTTACATGTTTATTAGGAATAAAGGTAGAGCTTCTTTGACATTAGGAAAAATGCTCTTAGAAAAAATGCTATGTTTATTGTACTTCAGTTTTCATGACCAGAGGCTTATCTGTCAACTGATTATCCAGAATATAAGCCAGAGGTCTGCTAAAGAACCGTGCAATAAATATTCATCTGTGCTCAATCAAATCAGGTTGGTGGGCCAGGGATACAGCTCAGCGGCAGAAGTGCCTGCCTGGCAAGCACAGGGTCTTGAATTTGATTCCTAGTAACAGAAAACAAAACAAAAGAATCATATCAGGTTGGCTGTGAGAAGTCTTGTGCCTGAAGATTGGAAGGTTCTGGTCTAGTTGAGACTTAAGAATCTATCTTGGACTAGAATCCACGTAACTCTTCATAAATACACAATCAGCAACTTCTGTAGACTGTGAAGATTTTGTCTATTTTTTTTTTTTTTTTAATTGCTATGCTCTTAAGCTTCTAGTACCTTGACCATTATGAGGTCTCACATACCTGTTTAGATGTTTTGCTTGTTTTGTAGAGGTCAAGTCCTCATGACGTAAGAATCAGATTATTCTTCCAAAAAAGAAAGAAAGTAAAAGCTTTTTTTTCTTTTCTTCTTTTTTGTTTTTTTGAGACAAAGTCTCCCTATGCAGTTCTGGCTGGCCTTGAGCTCACTTTGTAGCCCAGGCTAGCCTTGAACTCACAACGATCCTCCTGCCTCAGCCTCCCGAGTGCTAGGATTACAAATGTGCACCACCATGCCCCGCTAGAAATAGCATTTAATTAGTGACTTGCTCTCTATACTTGAAATGTTTATGGTTTTACAGGAATATGCATTTTTTTTTATATCATTAGATTTCTGAGTTACCTTTTTTAAAAATGTGAATGTTTTTCACCCATTTACCATGTACTGATTGGTGCTCTAAGGCACTTTCCATGTATTCGCTCATTTAAGTCTCATATCATTTATGGGCCATCTGCCTCTTTTCCTTATAGTTGAGGAACCTGATTCATAGAATGAGAGTTTAACTGGCTAAGATTACACAATTGTAAGTAAATGATGAAACTTAGGAACCCTGGTAATTTGACTTCATTCTATTAATATTTTTACACTAATATTGATACTTGAGTCCTTTTTGTATTTTTAAATATATATTTATATTTGCCACCAACAGCAGAGGAATCAGATGTAGAAATCTCGTCTCATAAAAAATTTTATGTGACATTTAAATTTATATGTTTAGAGGGAATTTAAATAAAAATTTATTGCAGTACCATTAAATATTGGTAGTTAAATCCTACTTCAGAGTTCTAAATTTAAAAAGTAGAAAGGTAAGAAAGGTATTTTTCTCAATATTACATTATTATAATTTAGCTTCATTACTTAAATATAATTTTTGTCTCCTTTCTATATCTTTCATTTTCTTTATTTATAATGTGATATTTAAGCTTGTGTGTCTGATTTATTTCATTTAATATTATGATCTGTGGTCTAAAAATGATGTATCCATTTTCCTACAAATGATTCAAGTTTATCTTTTTTCTGTGGCAGAGTAGTACTCCCTTGTGTATATATATATTTTCTTTATTCATTCATCAGTGATGGATATTTAGGCTACCTCCAAAATTTAGCTATTGTGAATTGTGTTGCTATAAACATGGGTCTGCATGTGTCACTGAAATATGATATCTAACTCTGTTGGGAAGATACCCAGAAGGGGATAGTTAGGTTGAATGGAATTTCTAGTTTTAGTTTTTGATTGCTCTCCATACTGATTTCCATAGTGGTTGCACTAGTTTACATTCCCACCAGCAATGTAGAAGGATACCTTTTTCCCTGTAGCCTCACCAGCATTGGTTATTATTTGATATCTTGATGATGGGCCATTCTTTCAAGGATAAGATGGAATCTCAGTGTTATTTTAATTTTCATTTCTCTAATGGCCAGCAACTCTGAGCATTTCTTCATGTATTTATTAGCTATCTGTGCTGCTTATTTTGAAAAGTATCTATTCATTTCACTTGGCCATGTTTTGATTGGGTCTTTTATTTTGGGGATATCTGTTTTTTTTCAGTTTTTTTCTATAGTCTAGGTATTAGTCCTCTGTCCGAGGAATGCCTGGCAAGAAATTCTTCCCTGTAATTTTTTAGTGCAGTTATAGTTGAGAACGTTTCATGTGGTAAGTAATTCATGGTACACTGAGTGTTCAGCCATCTAATTGGAGGCTTAAGCTGATTCTATGTCTGTATGTGTGTGTGTCTGTCTGTGTATGTTTGTCTGTGTGTCTTTGTGTGGTACTAAGAATTGAACCAAAGACCTCGTACATGCTAGGCAAGTGCTATACTACTGAGTAGCACCCAGCCCTTTTTAAGTTTTATTTTTTATTTATTTTTTTCTTCTTAAGTTTTATTTAAGACAGGGTCTCACTGAATTGCTCAGACTTGACTTAAACTTTCAACCCTTCTGTCTTACCCTCCTGAGCATGACTGGGATGACAGTCATGTACCTCCACACCTGGTTTAAACTGTGTAGTTTTTTATTTATTATTGCAAGAAATTACTTTAAGTAAGAAAACAGTTTAATTACACTTTAGTAAAATAAATGTAGCCCAGTGAGCTATTGAATTATTTTCTCTTTTCTAGGTTGGATGTAGTGGAAAAGTCATAGGAATTGATCACATTAAGGAACTAGTAGATGATTCAATAAATAATGTCAGAAAGGATGATCCAACACTTTTGTCTTCAGGGAGAGTACAGTTGGTTGGTAAGTATCAGAAAACTTCAAAACAGTTTTTCCCCAAAGGCTTTTCATTTTCAGAAGATCCTTTATAAGCTGAATATACTTAGAGCTAATAGTTGCACACTTTTATATTCACTTTGAAGTACTAAATAAGAAAAACTGTAACTTTGTTTTGCCCTTCTGGTGAATATACAGCAGTGTGTGTCTCTTAGTCATTTTCTCATTGCCCGGGCAAAGTACCTGTCACCCACACTTTAAAGTGGGAGAGATTTATTGGCACACGGTTTTCAGAGATTTCAGTCCGTGTTGGCTGGCTCCAAGGCAGAAATGACAGGGCAGAGGGGCAGAGTGGAGGAGCGCTGCTCAGGTCATGGTGGTCAGGAAACAAGGAAGAGAGAAGCTGATGAAGTAGATGCGCCCTTCCAGGGTCTTGGCCCTGGGGACTCGCCTCTGACCAGGCCCCACTGCTGCACAGCAGGTCAGCTCTGAACTCGGCAGTGCGCTGACCCCTGCTGAGTGGGGCACCTCCGCGGCCCAGGCACCTTCCCGATCTAAATCATAACGGTGTCTATGATTTTAATTTTGTATTTTCTTTTTAATTAATGAGCTTGAATACTTTTTCATGTGTTTTGTTGTTTGGATTTCCTCTTTTATAAAATACTTGTTCAGATAGTGGATTGTTTGTATCTTTCTTCGATTTATCAGCCTTCTGGAAGCTAGCCATTTGTTGGGTTATCAGTGCCATAACTCTCTCCTTCCATCTCTCATATGCTTTCTGATGTTATTGATCCCCTTTTATTACTGGGAATTCTTCATTTTAAGGTAGTCACGCTGGTGTGGTGGCTTACATCTGTAATAAGGTAGAAGGATCACTGTAAGTTTGAGGCCAGCTTCAGTTACATAGTGAGTTCAGGCTCAGCCTGCACTACAAAGTGAGACTTTGTCTCAAAAAAAAAAAAAAAAAAAAAAAAACGCAGACTTTTTAATTTTCTAGTGCTTTTGGTATTTTTTGAGGCTGAAGTCATGAAGATATGTTCTTACATGATTTCTTCGTCATTTTAGCTTTTCATGTTTAGGTCCTTGATCTTCTTGTCATTGAATTTTATGTGTGTATGGGGATAAGGGTCTAATTGTATTTTTTTTTCCATATGATTATCCAGTTATCTCAGTTTCATTTATTGAAAAATCTGCCCGTTTTTCCATTTAAGCCTCCTGTACAATACTACAGTTTTTCACACAAAGGTGTTCAGATGTTTGATCTGAACATCTTTTGTTTTTTGAGTAGGTTCTTACTAAGTTGCTGTGTTACTCAGGCTGTGCTCTAACTTGCAGTCCTTCTGCCTCAGCCTCCCAGAATGCTGGGATGATGAGATGTGCCACTGTGCTTGGCCTAAAAAGTTTTCAAAAAGCATAACTTTGTTTTCTTTCAGTGGGAGATGGAAGAAGGGGATATCCTGAAGAAGCCCCTTATGATGCTATTCATGTGGGAGCTGCAGCCCCAGTTGTGCCCCAGGCAGTGAGTTGACTTTATTTCTGTTTGTGTGTTTTATTTAATTAAAACTCTGAAGGGTAGATAAAGGAGGAAGTAGGGGGATCTTTTTCAGTTATGAAGGGGAACAAGAGATGGAGGGAGGGTAGAGGAAAGGGAGGGAAAGAGGATGGAAAGAAAATTGGGGAAAAAGTGGACGTAGAGCTTTTGCAGATGGGAAGGAGGTCAAGTGATGGAAAGAACAGGAGTAAGGGGAAGGATAGGGGTGTAAAAGAGTTAAAATGTGCTACGTACGTGTACAGCTCCCCGTGACCAGTGTAACCATGCACTGCAAACATGTACTGATCTAAATGATGTGCAAAATATATTTAGACTTTTATTTCATTCATTTTAGTTACAGTTGGCTGGAGTACTATTTTCCTCATAATGCAAACAAATGTGTAAATAACATGGAAATTATTAAACCTCAAGTCATGGCCGTCTTATTTGAAACAGTATTTGATCCATGTGTGAACTATGATAACAGTAGAGTTGGGAAAATCTTTCTGAAGTTCATGATCTGATGATAAGTTTGATGTTGTATTAAATACAAGAATTAGGACCAGGGATATAGCTCAGCAGCATAGTGCCTTGCTTGGCCAAGGTCCTGAGTTCAATTCCTGGTACCAAAAACAAAAACAAAACAAAACAAGAATTGTAAAACTATGGAGGGTGAATAGGAGATATAAGAAATACTTGTTACATTATATCTGCATAAATCTTATGTTCTAGAATAGATGTATTATACATTTAACAAGTAATTTAATGCTGTGACAACATATTGTGAGCATGATATGTATAGGAGAGGAAATATGTATGAGGGGAGAACACACAACCACACACATACACACAGTGTTATTTGTGTATGTGTGAGTGAATGTGTGTGTGTATGTGTGTGTTGTACTGAGAATTGAACACACAGCAGTCTATCACTGAGCTACATGTCTAGCCCTTTTTATTTTGAGACAAGGTGTAACTAACTTGCCCAAGCTGGCCTGGAGCTTGCAATCCTCCTGACTCAGCCTTCCAGGTAGCCGGGAATACGGACATGATCTACTGTACTCAGTGATTAAACTTTAATATTGGCAGCCACAGTGAACAGTTAAAATCTCAAATAGTATGATGTTTAAATAAAAGGGGTGGGTGCAAGACTTAATCTTGAAGGACATTTCTAGATTTAGCCTAATAAGATTATTTACTTACTGAGGATAGAACCCAGGGCCTTCACATTCCCAGACCTTATTTTTATTTTTATTTTTATTTTGAGACAATGTCTTACTGATTTGCCAAGTTGCGCAGTCTGGGGTCAAACTTGAGATCCTCCTGCCCCAGCTTCCTACAGTGCTGCAATGAGAGGTGTACACTACCATGCTCAGCTTTAAAATGAATTTAAATATTATATAGTAGCACTTGTAACTGTCATGGAGACCTGTATGTATCTGATTGAATGTAAAGGGAGATTGCTGAAGGAGCTTTCCAGGTTTATGATAGAGTCGATTATACTTATCTGGATCTTACCCAGAAAACTAGAAACAGAAACCTCATGCTCAAGTTACTAGGAGATGATGCATTCAGTCGTGAACTCTGCAGTGTGTGAAGATACAAAGGAGAGGAAGCAACAGCTGACTCAGGAGGCAGCAGAAATCAAGGAGATTATAGAGAAGATTGTCAATGTGGAAACAATTAGTGGAACTCTTGAGAGGAGTAGGAATTGAGACACTGGCACCTTGGAAATCAGAGGGGGAAGCATGAGTCTGAAAAGAAGGGTGACTGCTGACAATTTTGCATGAGAAACATCCCCACACCCTAAGTAAGAAACTTCCCCAAACTGAAAAACTTAATTCTGTAGTTTGAAGAGATCTGAGTGCCCAGCACAATGCATTTTTAAAATAACAAAGAACTACATAAAATTTCAGAATATTTTGGATAGAGAGAAGATTGTAAAAGCTTTCTGAAAAACAAAATACATACTGTTATGGTTTGTATCTAGATGTCCCCCCAAAGCCTCATGCAGTTATGGGGTGGGCTTCTAGAGTTTATGATTAATTCATGGTCCAGTGCTGGGATTGTGGGTGTGAGTGCTGCACCAGTTGTGGGGCGGGCAGCCTGCATACAGTGTAAGGGAGGGGAGGAGGCTTGCTTTCTTGTGCTCCTCCCTTTTTGCTCTTGCTACTTTTGTTGTTTTCCACTGCCATGAACTATTGCCCTCTGCCATGTGCCACTGCCTTGGAGCCAGGTGAGCATGGACTGAAATGTCCACAAACTGGAGCTAAATAAACCTTTCCTTCCTTAATTCTGGGCGTCAGGTATTTTGTCCCAGAATGAGAGAAAAGTAACCACGACACATACTTAAAGGTTTGATTAGAAGAAAGGCATCACACTGCAGAGGAACACCATTAAAGTCAACAAGTCAGAGGAACAAACCATCAAAATTTGCGGCTGAAAATTATTTCCAGTCTTGAATTCTTTATGACCATGTATCACCAAATGAAGAGAATAAAGGTGATTTTGGACTTGCAAATCTCCATTTCTCTCATGTTCCATGCACCATTTTATTTATTTTTTAAAATTAATTTTATCAGTGAAGTTTTGATGAATCACATTCAGCATAGGAAATTTGTACTTGTTCATAATAGATCTTAATTCTTTTTTTTCCCCATTCTCCTCCTTTTCCTTTAGGGGTCCTCTCCCTCTCCTTTTACAAAACTTTGTTTCTACTGTTTTCCTTTTGTTCTTTTTTGGCTTTTTATCCATTTGTTATTCTCTCTTCCCTCCCCTGCCTCCCTTGTTCCCCTTCCCACTTGAATATTTTCTTCCTACTTCCCAATATTTTGGTCCTTATGTATCCTTTGGGTTTCTCACACAAGGAAAAAAAATGCAATATTTAAACTTGTGTGTCTGATGTATTTCACTTAAGATTATGGTCTCAAGGTGCATTCGTTTCCCTAGCAATGACTCAAGTTTACCCTTCTTTATGGCAGGGTAGTCTTTATTGTATATAAAAATCAGATTTTCATTATCCTTTCATCTATTGATGAAAATCTGGGCTGTTTCCAAGATTTAGCTATTATATATTGTTTTTTTTTTTTGTCTTTTTGAGACAGGGTCTCACTATGCAGTTCAGACTTGTCTTAAACTCACTTGTACCCCAGGCTGGCCTCAAACTTCCAACAATGCTCCTGCTTCAGCCTCCCAAGTGCTGGGATTACAGGTGTGGGCCAGCGTGCCTGGCTAGCTATTATAAATTGCTATAAACATGGATGTGCATATATCTCTATAGAATGATGCTTTTAACTCTTTCAGGAAGATACCAAGAAGTGGAGTAGCTGGGTCAAATGGAACTCTACTTCTAGTGTTTTGAGCAGTCTCCATACTGATTTCCATAGTGATTGTACCAGATTGCATTCCTACCAGCAAGTAGGAAAGGTTCCTTTTTCCCCAAAGCCTTATCAGCATTTGTTGTTGGTTGATTTCTTGATGATAGTCATTCTTTATAGACTGTGAGGGAATCTCATGGTTCTTTTAATTTGTATTTCTTGAATGATGTTGAACATCATTCAATGTTAAACATTTTTTCGCATATGTATTTGCTGTTTGTACTTCATTTCAGATGCCCATTTTTGGATTGGGTCTTTAAATTTGGGGCTATAATGTTTTAAAGTTTTTTAATGGATTGTGTATGTTAATTCTCTGTCTGAGGAATAGCTAGTAAAAATTTTTTCCCACTCTGTGAGTTTTCTTTCCACTCAGTTGGTGGCTTCTTTTGCTGTGTAAAAGCTTTTTAACATGATGTGATCCTAGTTGTTGATTCTTTGTAATATTTCCTGTTTGGGGTTTTGTTCATAAATCTTTGCCTATACCTATGTCTTCAGGAGTTCTCCCTATTCTCTCTTCCAGTAGATTTAGTGTTTCTGTTTTAATATTTAGATCTTTGATCCATTTCAATTTTAGTTTAGTACATAGTGATAGACATAGGTCTAATTTTAGTCTTAGACATGTGCAAAGCCAGTTTTTCCAGAACCATTTATTACAGAGGCTATCTTTTTTCCAGTGATCGTGTTTGACCTCTGTGTCAAAGATAAGATGCTGAGGTGTTTGGAGTTGTGTCTGTATCTTCTAATGCCAGTACCATGCTGTTTTTATCACAGTAGCTTTGTAGTATGATTTTAAGTCAGGGATTGTGATGGCCCTTGCCTTGCCTTTCATGCCTAGGATTGTTTTTGCTGTTCTAGGTCTCTTCTGGTTCCAAATGAATTTTAGGAATGTTTTCTCTAGTTCTGTGAGGTATGCTAATATAATTTGAATGGGATTGCATTAAATCTATATAGCAATTTTGGCTATACAGTATGGCAGTTTTCACTATGTTGGTTCTTCCTAGCCATGAGCAAGGGATATCTTTCCATTTTCTGATAATCCTCTTCAATCTTTTTTGAGAGTGAGATTTTTTTGTTTTTGTTTTTTTTAGTACCAGAGATCGAACTCACAAGCTTGTGCTTGCCAGGCAGGTGCTGTGCTGCTGAGCTACATCCCTGGCCCCAATCTTCTTTTTGGGAGAGCTTTAATTTTCAGTGTATAGATCTTTCACTTCCTTTGTTAGATTGATTCCTAAGTATTTCATTTTTTGGGATGCTATTGTGAAAGGTATTGTTTCCCTAATTTCTTTCTTGGTGTTTGTTAATGCAAATAATGGTAATTTAACTTCTTACTTTACTATCTTTATTTCTTTTATTTCTTTTGCTAGTCTAATTGCTCTGGCTAATGTTTCCAGAACTGTATATTAATAGGAGTGGTGATAGTGGACATCTTTGTCCTTTTCGTGAGCTTAGTGTGAAAGTTTTTAGTTTTTGACCATTTAGTATGATGCTGTTGGTTTGTTATAGATGGTTTTTATCACAGATTGAGATAAAGACTATTTCAATTTTCTGTACAGTTTTTATTATGAATGGGTTTTGGAGCATGTCAAATGCTTTTTCTGCATCTGTTGAGAT